AACATAAAATAATACGGAGTTTAAGGCTTCATCATAAGAAAGAACTATCCAATAATCCTCTAACAATTTTTGGACATATAATCAAGGCATTTGAGTCTTTGCCCTTTTAATATCACATTAAGTTTACTTTGTAGCAAGCATAATCCATGTTATTATTTTTAAAAAATGAATCAATCATATGTCAATAGCGCAAAATAAAGTGTCATAGCTCATGGTGTGGCACGGCGCACCATCTACGTTATCTATACAGCGCAACGCACCCTCGTCGACGCAAGAAAATGGCACATGCTATTTGAGCCATGTATGGGCACTGAAGCAAGGCATTTTGCTTTAATAGTGCACACTAAAATAACTATCATGATTTAATATGAAATGATAGAAATAATTATTATTATTATTATTATTATTATTATTATAGTCCTAGGGCAGTCCTAGGGCATCTTCAATCTGCCTCACACGAAACTTTCAGCAAGCGAATAAAGGTCACATGTTATTCTTGCTAGTGCCAGTCCAACAACCCCTAGTCAACATTGCGCTCTCGCTCGCACTCATCCAACAACCCACTTTCGAACAAGCTAAGAGGTGTTGGAATGACAACTCGAACGAACCTTCTCCAAACGCCAGATGTTGCTCATTCAAATTGAGTCATAGTGATGTGTAGCTTCCTCTAGCACTGCATCCAAGTTACCGAGACATTCGCTCATTCGCGTTGCGTCCCCAATCGGCTCATTCTTTAATCCCACTGTCAGTCGGTCACTCACAAGTCATCGGGAAGTCTAGGTGATTCAAGCCCATTATCTATAGTAGCAATATCAATATGATTTTTTATTGTTAAATTTCATATATTTTTAGTATATTTTTTCACATATTTTTAGACAAGTCTATAAGATTTTTTAAGTGGTGATATTTTTATGTACTAATCGAGTTATAAATTTGGAATTGTTTCAATTCATATTAATTCATACAATCTTGATATTTTATAGTAAGTTAACTTCTATTCTAAAGATAGAAGGGCAAGTTGAACCTGCAACATTAATGCATTTATGGGTTAAGTGATTGACAATTAGAGGATTGTGATTGTCTTATTATAACGCATATATAATTCCCCCTATTTATAAAAACAGGGTTACAAAAAAGATCAAAAAGAAATTCATCAAATTTATTCCATAAGAGAATTATTATGGCGTGCATATGTTTTGAGTTCTTTTCGATACATGCACATACAAGTGTAGATATAGGCAAGGAAAAATTTTAGAACAAAATGAAAAGAACATTAATTTGTTTTTATTTTCAATATTTTCAAACATAATTTAACCCAGAACAAAATGAAATTATGATAGCCCTATTATATTTGATTTAGCCCCTCTTCTTGAAATATATTATTTCATTCTTTTCAATTAAAAAGATGCGTATATTTATCTTTATTCTTAAATTATCTTTTTAGGTAACTTATACATGCATTACAGTCAGTTCCTGAGAAAAAGTTGGAGTTAATTCAATCAGCAAAAAAAGATCCAACCTAGAAATATGCAATCTTGACAAATGAGGATGATGATGATTGTCTGACATGCATTTTGTGGAAAAATCACATAAAGAGGAATTAGTCGTCATAAAGAACACTTGGTGGGGGGGCTTTAGAATTGCTAAAGCTTGGAGCACCTTGCCTCAACATGTTAAAGATGAAATTAGAGTCTTTGAAGGAGTTGAAAGATCAATTAATGAAACATTACACAATAATATTGATAAAGTGGATAACTTTAGTGTGATGATGGATGATGATATTTTATGTGCTTAACAGCCTGAACCATCAAAAATCATATCATGCAACAAAAACAAATGTCTCTACAACAAGGTCAATGACGTCTAATATTAAGGATCCAAAGGTTAAAGGACCTTCGGATATACTCTTTACCCCAAATCCTGTTGAGATGGTTAAGCAATGAAAAGGTAAAATGCAAAAAGAGATGGATGCAACTAGAAAAGGTAATGCAAGAAAGAGCGCTTCAAGTATTTTATCATTGGATGTATGATGTTGATTTTTTCAGCCCACTTAAATATGATAGCTTCCAGCAGTAATGAAAGCATCTGGACAATTTAGTCCTTGTATGAAATTGCCAAATTATCATGAAATGTGGGTTCCATATTTAAGAAAAAAGATCACACAAAATGATTTTTGAAATGTCACGAAGAATATTGTCTTAAATTTGGTTGTTCTGCTAGAGCTGATGGTTGGACATCTCGTAATGAAAAAAAGTTTGGCGAACTTTTTGGTGAATTGGCCTAGGGGAACCATATTCATAGAGCCAGTTGATGCTAACTCTTATTCAGAAGATATGTTGAAGAGGTTTGAATTGTTAAGAAAGTATATCAAAGAGTTTGGACCACATTGTGTTATTCAAGTGATCATTGATAATGTTTTTGAGAATATTCTTGCTAGCTAGTGACTAAAGTTCTAAACACATTTTTATTTGATTTAAGTTTTATATTTTTTTATATGTTAATTATTGATTGTTGAATATTTTAAATATTATTATCGAAAAGTTATTCATAGATAAATATCCACACATATTATGGACTCTTTGTGTTGCTCACTCTATCGATGTAAGATTGGAAGACATCTTCAAAATTAAAAAATTAAAACAATTTTTGAGAAGGCGGTAGTTGTACATAATTTCATTTATTCAAGAACTTAATAGAATGGCTTAACGAGGAGATGTACAAATCAAAGATCACTTATTAAGCATGCTAAGACTCAATTTGCCACTGCCTTCTTGACATTACAAAATTTTCATCAACAACATATATAATTGAAGAGAATTGTCACATGTGAGGAGTTCATGTTGGATCCATATTCAATAAAGGTTAAGGTAGAACAAGCACAACAAACTATCAAGCAACATTTTTTTTTTTGAAACACTATAATATATGCGCTAATAAAATTTGGTGGCCCGTTGTTGAAGGACCTTAGATTGGTTGATGGAGAAAAGGTCTCTGATGGGTTATATATATGAAGTGATGGATAAGCTAAAGAAGCCATTGTTACTAGTTTTACCAATAGTGATATGTGAACGGAATATTGAAATTATTCATAGAAAATCGCAAGTGTAACTTCATCAACCTTTCCATGCAACTGCATATTTCTTAAATCTTGAATATTTTTTCAATGACCCTAACATTGCAAAAAACATAGAAATAATTGACAGATTATATGCATGCATTAGAAGATTTGCTAAGGTTGTCGAATAAGAAAATAATATTAGCAGTAAATTAACTGCATTTGAAGATTAGCTAAGCTCATAGAGTAAATCATGCAATGAAGTTAAAAATGGAAGAGACTTTTGAATTTTCAAACCATTTTTTTATGATAAAAATATAAAATGAACATTAGTCCAAATTGTAACCCTAAAAAAGCAACTGAGATACTTGGGTATAGGTGTTCATATAGTATCATAACATAGGCTATTTACCATGAGTTTACAGTGAACAAAAAGACAAATGTTTTTTGACGCATGCCCATATTGTAAGCATGAGATGTGTCGGCATATGACAAATATTTGATTTATGATTTGCATAAAGACCCTCATGTATATGCATAGTTGTTTTATCGATCAGATAATAATGTAAGATTGATTTTCTCTATACCTACCAGCCAATCATGCATTGCATTCAATCCTAATGACATCAGTTTAAAACTAGCATAAGTGGATTCAAAGGAATTTCTTACCTAAAGACGGTAATAATTTTGTCGAGCTTCCCAACCTCCCATGATTGGATTATATCTCCTAGATATCTTCCTGATGGTTGGAAAAATAATTTCATATATCAACACTATTCAAATCATACATGGCAGTTCAAGTCCCACTCTCTCATTTAATCAAGATAAATGCTTCTTTAGAGAACTGAGTAAAATCTATATATTTTTCTAGCCTTCTTTTTTCGGAAACACAAATATCATTCCTTGGGTCAATTTGCTTAGCCCTACTCTCATGGATAATATAGGGTTGACTTTTTTTGGGCGACTAATGTCCTTCAGCATTGTCTTTCATGGTGCTACGGGTTCTTTCCTTGCTCCCCTTTAGGGAATCCCTCTTGATATGGTAAGTCCTCGATGCATTCTCGTGCATCCCTTTATGTCTAGTGCATTGACCAACTATTACTTGGAGTTTTTAAAATTGATAGACATCAAAATCCATGCAACTCTACGTACAACAGTTTCTACTTTATTGCTCTACTCCTCATGGGTGCCTCTTGCTTAATTTATCCTTTGAGGCAGACCATCCCTTTGCTAGTGCTCCCTCGATAGTCTTCCCAGTTAATGCACTCAGGATGCAATTAATAATTGGGCTTACACCCATTAAAAATCCCAATACAAGAAACTAATTAAATATTATCCGATCATTTGTATTGTTAAGGCGAAATTTCTAAGATATATTTACAAAATGACATCAATTTGCTCGCACACTAATCTGTCTTGCGCCCTCTCTGGGGTGATTTTTTTTCTTTTTAAATTGTGAAACTCCTTCTAAACAATTTTTTGTATTTTTTATTTCTTCTTAACAGATTTGATTCATACCTTCCCAATGGATGAGGAAGTTTATCACTCATAATGGATTGAACAAACCGCACTTCCATTACTCTTTTCATAATATTGCCTTAACGCAGAATCTACTAAGAAAATCTACGAAAAGCTTAACAGAACTACAACTCTGATTGAAGTTTAAGCAGTGTATCTGAAACGCAACAAAATCTAATACCATTAAATAAAAAAATTTTATAATCGGAATAGAGGTTCATACCATTCAATTTCCTAACACTTATCCCCATCCATGATTGCCCAAGATACACAAAAAAAAAAAAAAGAAAGAAAGAAACCAATCAACGAGGGTAATGACAATAAGCCAAGACATATCGAAGCCGCGATCAACTCACAGAGGCGAACATAACCCCGTCGATCAGATACGACGAGAGATCCAACGAAGGTGGGAGAGGGGAATGCTTACTGGGTTTCTCGGGCTTGCCGTTGGCCCATTTGGAGACGGCGAAGTGGACCTTCTCCCTCGATGCCGCATCGGACTTGTAGGGTTCTTTGAGGCAGCCTCGAACAAGCGACGCGCAGATGTTGGAATAGGTTATGTAGGTCATCCCTGCTGCTCTCCAAAACGGTACCGCCGCCGTAGACGCCATCCTCGCCTCGCCTGCTCTCTCTCTCTCTGTCAAAATTATTGAGATGCACTCGGTAGATCAATTTGAGACTTAGGCTAGTTAAAAGGAAAAATTAATGTAGGATTTAGGGTCGAATAATTTCCAATCCAAATAAATTTCAAATCCCAAGAAATTAGTCATATATCAAAATCACCCTAAAAGATCAATTTCTAAAATCTTGAAATCATTTGGAGATGCTTATGATTTTTTATGATTTATTAAATTATAAATTTAAAAAATTTAAGACTCGTTAGTTAATCGAGTAAATGCTATAATATCATTTCTAAGCTTAGCAATCTTAAATAGAAGAAAGAATTTAGCAAATAACTTTCATGCTCATATGATAATTTCAACTTAAGGGTACTGAATAAAACCACACTTTCAACCCGTCTCTCAAAGAGAAAGAGAACATCATAGGTTTTATGAAGTCATGAGAGACTTCAATGTACTTACAAGTACTAATTCTTTAGTATAAATTTCGTACCATTTGATTTATTGCATGTTTATGTTTAAAATTAATTGCATGGTTAGTTGGCATATTAATTCTTTAGTAAATTCATGATACTAATAAGTTGGAAAAGTTTTTCTAAGGGTTTGATTGTTGTATTTCACATGATTAGTTTTATATGGTATAAGTTTGATTTTTAATATTTATCTATTTTCTTATAGGTTTTTATTTAAATTTAAAAAAAATACTAATTTAATTTTTTTTATCCTACACATACAACTCACAAAATGTAGTTATAAACAATTGCAATATTAGCAAGAATAGCAATAATAATAAAAACAACAACTAGCAAAAAAACAATAGAAATGGAAACAACAAACAAAAATAAGGTAAAATAATAAAGTGCAAAATTATAAAATGTACAAAAATGAAAACAATGATTAAGCATGGCAATTAAAGAAGCACACTTTGTAATATAAGTTCAAATAAATAGAAACATAAAGACCATAAAATAATGAAACACTAAACAATAACTACACAAAGGATAAATTAAAATAATATTATAGATTTAATATTAGCATCAATAAAAAAATTATTGTCAATCATCAATAAACCATGACTTTGTTGTATACGCAACTGCACTAATCATTTTAATCAACACAAAAATGAATAGAGTATCATTCTCATGAGGATTAAATTGAAATTTTTGTTTAGCTAAATAGCTTTTTTTATTAAATTTTAATTTTAACCAAAAACTAATTAATAATTTTGCAAAAAATATTTTAGTAAGAATCAACACTACATAATTTTTTTTTCCTAGTGAAGGAATACTCAAGAACCATAACTCATCTATATTGAAATTAAGCAATATTGTAATTTACATATTTTTCAATTAATTCTCGTAATTGACATATCTTTCAATTATTATTATCAATTTAGATTAATATTATTTTTTAATTCTCCAATAACATAAAAAAACCTAATCACTTGTATTTACTAGTTATATTCCTATCATAATTAATTCAAGTTATTTCTCAAAAGATTCAAATCTTCAAGTATATACTTGTTTACGTCATTTTTACTTGAGGTCTATACTCTTCCCTCTCTCAAGTCTATGTTCTAGCCTTAGGGTTTTCTAAGAAGTTCTCCTTGAAGACTAGTGGAGAAACAAATACTAAGCTAATAATTTTAAATCAAATCTTTAATTCTTATAATTTATACTTGGCTTCAAACCCTTAACCTTTAATTGAGATGGTTAAAGTGAAGTTACTGAAGCTTAAGTCGAGTTCCTATAGACCTAGAAATGCCTTAAACGACTTTATGACTTGAGGGACTTAGGTCTTCTACTTGGTCTCTCTCATTGGCACTTTACGCCTCCCTCTCCGAGCTCCTTGGATAACCTTCTTTGTGTTTCATAGAGAGCTCATTGGGTATGAGGCTCATTTTGAATTAAGATAGGGTTCATCCTAATAAAAGAGAAGATAAAATAAAATTCACAAAACAAACTAAAACTAAAATCAAGAAAGTCCGACTTAAATGAAAATTAACTTAAAATTGAGATTAAAATTCAAGCTCATTAAAGCATCAAAGATAAATTAAAAATTGAAATAAGTTTCAATAAAGTAAAATTAAAATCAAGATATTTGAATTTACCAAAATTGAGAAAATTAAAATTACCAAAGTAAAACCACCAAATTAAAGGCTTAAAATATAAAATATGAAATTATCAAACTAAAACCCAAAACTATTAAAACTTCAAAGTAAAATTAATATTAGAATAAACTCACATAAATTTATCACTAAAGTTTAAATCTATAATTCCAAAGTTAACAAATTTAAATCAACTCAACCATCAAAATTAAAAATCAAAGCTAATAAACCCAAATTCAATAGAAATCAAGTTGACCTAAGTCAAAATTGAAAATAAGAACAAACATCAACAAAATTCTCACATTAAAAGAAATAAGCTAAAAATACAAAGTAAAATCAAAATTCAACAAAATTAAAACACTGAGTAAAACCAAAACTAAAGGAAAATCAAACTATTTAATGTCACTCCATATCCACTAAAACTTAAAGCCAAATCAAACTCAATTCAAAGCCAAGCTCTCATGCTAAGCCAAATGCAAGCCACTAAGCCAAATCAAAGCCACCGAATTTCAAAGTGAGCCAAGTCCAAGCTAAGAAGTCAAACCCTCATGAAAAATCCCATCAAATCCACCTCATGCAGGGATAAGTCAAGTCCAAGCCCAAAGCACTAAAGTGACAAAAAAAAGCTCAGGCCTATGCATATGCCCATAAGTGATCATGACAGACTTGAACTTCCTCCATGCAAACCCACACGACCCATGCACATCCAAGCCACTTCCAAGTATGCCAAACCACTCTAAATCCAATGGATCAAACTCAAAGCCAAGGATAAACCCATCACGACCAAACCTACCAAATTCAATGGAAGCTAAACCAAGCCAAAGGAAACTTACCCCAGCCCACTGTTATCTCCCAAAGTTTAGGTCAAGCAAGTCCAAGTCAGTCGGAGCTCCTTTTGGCGTCTCCATGGCTATAAATAGCCCAAAATAGAGAGTCGAGCACACAAGCCATACCCTTTGATCCCTACCCAAAACTCTACCCAATTGCATCTAAAAGTCTTAGCCAAATTCCTTGCTTCCTTTCTCACCATCTAAAGCCCAAACTAGTGTCATTACACCTCCAATTTCTCTAATCCGTAACAAGACCACACACTGTTTCTTACTCAAACCCACCAAAACTCAAAAGAAAGTCCACCAAAAACTTCCCTAGGTTCTAAAACTCACTCCCCCACCATTTTGTCTCTGCCCCGAGCCCTCTAAGCTACATATAGATCAATCTGTGGACCTTCTTGATCAAAATCATACAAAAGCTTAAAACCGGCTCAAACTAGAACAAGGAGTATAAGTGTGCACTCTGAACGATCATCTACAACCCATTAAATAGTGGTCTCAACTCTTGAATAAATGTATATGCTTCAAACGTCATTTTGGCCCTTTATGAAGAGAACTTCAAATCCATGTAAGCTTATTCGTAGAATGTAAATGCTAGGGCCTAGAGATTATTTTGGATGGTTTAGATCTTACGATTGTACATAAGATCGAGCAGATTAGGGGTTTTATCATGAACAGTGTGTATTCTCTATCTATTTGGCAATGATGAACATATGTTGTTTGTGTCAAAATGGATGGTGCAGATTAAATCATTAGGGAAACCACAAAGAGGATTAATTGACTGAATGAAGGTCAGCTCAGTACACAGATAGCCAGAGCAGACGTGTAGGAGTTAGCGACTATCTAGGATAATTGGTAACCATGTGTGCACTACATGTTTAAATAGGAAACTCCAGTCCCATTTTTATAATTAATTAAATCTAGAAAATTAATGGAGGCTTTAATAATTCTTAACTAGATAATTAAGAATAAAAAATATATATAAAATAAAATACTCTAAACTCTGTCACACGAGGGAAATCAAATAAAAATAAAACTTAACTAAATTAACCCATATTGAATTTAGAGATTAATTAAAACCATTAGAACATTAAAAAATCATTAAAAATTTAAACATAAAATCAAATTAAGGATTGGATTGATTGAGCTCTTTGACCATGGAGACCTCCCACAATTTTCCCAAGGTAGGAGACTAACATTTATGAAGAAATTTATAATTTTTAATGAATTTGACAATTAATATGAAAATAAAATATAAAAGATAACATATAAATAAAAATAAAAATAAAAATCACTTGAAAAATTAAAAGGACAAATAAGATAGTAAACTTATGTAATAAAATGATAATTCCACTCTTTGAAACTCAATAACTCACTCAAATCAGGTAAGTGTATATTTGTAAATTAAAAATTATATATTTTAACCCTCCTTAAATCCAATTAAAAACAGAAGATTACACTTTGAAACCTTAATCGTTTGACCCATTAAACACAAAAAAAGAAATGTTTAAATTGAACCCTAAGTTGAATATCAAAATCACACAAAGGTACATTTGTATTTATGTAAAAATATGGAAAATTGCATCTTATTAAAATATTGATAATCCTAGTTAATGCAAATCATAAAATAAATGATTAATTCACCATCTAAAACACTTTTAAAAAATTTTGGTAAAAAAATGGTAAGTCAAGTTAACAAACTTTTAATTAAAATTGAGTAAAATCAAAGAAATTATGAATTCACCCCTCATATCAATTCAAACATTTTGAAACTTTAAAATCATTAAGATCTAGATGAAAATCATTAATGAAACATAAAATAATCAAATCATAATTGACAATCATTAATGAAAGTCATATTTGTAATTCTTCAAAATTTTAAATATTCCCTTCCCCACTTTTAAACCTTAAAAACATTGTGAAGTTAATAACTTGTAAAACTCAAATCTAAATGATCATTACTCAACAAAATATTAAATACTTAATAAAATTAGAAATATTAAAAGTAATTAGAGGCTTATTAAAAATTTTCCAAAATTACAAATAAGCCTTTACTTGCTTGTAAAACACCAAAACTTAATCTCATCAACGTAAAATTCATCGAATATGATCTTAAAACATTAATGAAAGATAAAATAATAATTTAGAAACAAAATCTAAGCAATTAAAATTGAATTTAAGCTTATTTGTAACTTTCCAAAAAGATTACAAATAAACCATTTTAATCACCAAATCCAACAAATGAAATCATTAAAAAAATTTAAAAAAAAAAGTTCAATATATAAATTCAAACCACTCATTAAAAAAAAAAAAACAACAACATAATAAGAAAAATTGTAACTTGAGACAAAGTGGTTTAAGTCAAAACCTGTAATTTTAAAAATATACCCTTACATACTAAAATGATCATAATTTCACCAAAAAAAAAAAAACTCCAAATTTCATGAAATCTTTACCAACAAATCAAATGAACAAAGAGAAATTAAAGAATTCAAAAAATATTACTCATTAAGTAATTTTCAATGATACTTAAATAATTAACTCACCATACAAATGTAATAATCCATAATGATTTTAAATGAACTAAGAACTACTTGAATGTTGTTGTTTAGAATTCAATTTTGAACATCTCTATAAGATTTCTAGGGTTTAAGAGATTATTTGAACTTAATAAAATTTTCAACAAATTAAAAAAAGCAACCCCACTAAAAATCAAATAATTCAAACACTTGAATGTTGTTGTTTTGAACTCAGTTTTGAACATCTCTATAAGATTTCAAGGGTTTAAGAGATTATTTGAACTTAATAAAATTTCCAACAAATTAAAAAAGCAACCCCACTAAAAATCAAATAATTCAAATCAAATTTGTTAAAGCCATAAATTATTAAAACTTAAAATAAATATTTAATTAAAGAAACTTAGAGCACGAGTTATCCTTATATGAGATAACATATAGTTATTGATAAGAAATCCAATAATTATTTTTAACCGGGCTGACTGAAAACGCTGATAACCTTGGAACGATGAAACTATGGGATCTTGACTAGGGTCGTCATATAATAAAAATAAAAATAAAAACGATCCAAATTAAAATAAAATCAAAAGACAATCCTATTGAAAATCAATTAAATATCAAATAAAATAAAATCTTTCTAAATCGTGAAATCTGAAAGATATTAAAACTTAAAATAAACCTCTAATGACCAATTAAAACCAAACGTAACTTGAACAATAATCCATCATGGATCTACAAAGATCTCTTAGACGACACAACTCATGGTTACTAACAAGAATCTTTGAGTCATGATTGGGTTAATCACCTTTTTTAACCGAGCAGATCTGAGATCACAACAGTCGGGGATGATAAAAAGTCATGAGCATCTTGACTGGGTTTTGCCTCCATTTCCCTTTTTTAAACTTAATAATATTTAGACATCAGAGAATTAGGCTGAGTGATGTCGATTTGTTGTGCTTTGTGCTCGTGGTTTTTTGCTCATTAAACATTTGCATATGATGAGTAATTTAGTCTTATTTCATTTAGATACTGCACTTTTGTGGCATGCTAGTCTAGTTTAATGTAGTTTCATTTACATGATTCAAGACTCATAACTAATTTAGGAAGTGTTAAGTTTATTTGTGAAGCTATTGTAGTAAGCCAAGGTCGCCATAGTAAGTGCAGGTTTATTTTTTGTTGTATTTTCTCTTTCTATAGGTAGGGTGTGTCATAGTTGGTCAACTATTGAGATATGAATCTTTTGTAGGAAGATAAACACAAAAGCAAAAGATAAACCTCAACTAATCCAACAATAATATTTGGATTACATCTTTGACCAGCGTCTCTAACATAGGTCTAGGGTTGGTACCCTTTTGTCATCTTTGTCGTGTCATTTTGTTTATGCTTGATAGGTGCAACTAAATTTGAGGTCGATGTTTTATTTGATGTTTTTTCTTGGATTATCAGTAAGGTCATTAGGGATTAGTTTTTCTACCCAAATCAAATAATTTGTATAAAAATTTTTCAAAATTAAAGAAAACTCGTGACCAAAATAAAAAATAAATAAAACATTGCTTTCACACCTTAGAAACATCAAACATCTAAAATAATAAAGCTTAAATCAAATAAAATTGAGTAGAAACATCTTTGTGATTTAAGAATAGCCACGAAAAGATCACCTTGGACATATGCATTCCAATTACATTTAGTTTTTGTTTTCAAGCCCTCACTCATTACACAGAAAGGAGTGACTTGTCCTTTGAGAGTCACCATCTTATGGAGTGAGTTTTGTCTTTGCATATCATTTGATCTTATGAATTACTCTTCTAAACATTCACCATTAAGGACTTTCATACCTATACAAAACCTCCTATATTCACTCGACACCAACATTTAACAAAAAAATAATAAAATACATGAGTGTAGTTAGCTACAAAATTTTAAATTTTAAATTGCAAAAATATGTTCGAATTAGTCTTAAGATATTATGCGTACAATTCATACTTTTTGATTTTACAATCGAGTTATATGACCTACTTCCCTTAATAAATAACAGTCTATCTTATCTCATATTCATTGAGACCAAACATGCATAATTTTACCACGTTCAGGTGGTTTGGATGACACCCTTTCTAGGCAAACTTATAAGTTCATTACATTTTGTTTATTGTGATTTATCTTTCTTTGAACTATGTTTTTAGGGTATTACTTCTTAAGTGAACCTCACTTAAGTCTTAGGGATTTCAGGGCTGTTCTTCTAGTCATGACATAAATCCTCACATCCTGGACTTTCTCAAGATCATATGTCGCATGATCTAAGTCCTAAATTTTTAATAAAACTTCTATTGAAAAATTGAATTAACCTCTTTCAAATTACTAAAGTGAAACAAAAGAATAATTGAGATGTTAATGAGCTTCTCTGTACCTTTAACATCTCTAGATTTTCACTTTTGGGTTCAACAATAAAATGCACAACTTTTAAGTTTTTCCCTTTTAATATTCCTAATAAACAATCGTGAAAATTAAACTTAGAGATTTTTTAAATAAAAGACCAAAACCATAATCAAAAGATTTTTTAAGTAACCCTTATTATTTAAGATGTAATTAACTACAGAGGTTTGTCCTATAAGAATTTTGAACCCTAGATTAATCTAAACCTTATCTAGTCTTCGAATTAGATAAGGGAAATATTTTTTTTTGTTTTAATCATAGATCTT